CAGGGGGCAGCGCCCAAACCCCCTGATCACCCTGCAGCTCTGTGTGTGACAGGGGGCGGGGCTCCAATCCCCCCACCCCCTGCGGGCCCTGCTCGGTGTGTGATGGGGTAGAGCCATAACCTCCCCATTGGCCCTGCCCTGAGTATGAGAGTGGCAGCGCCCCAACCACCTGATCGGCCCTGCTCTGTGGGTGATAGAGGGTGGCGCCCCAACCCCCTGATCCGCCCTGCCCTGAGTGTGACAGGGGACAGTGCCCCAACTCCCCTATCGGCCCTACTCTGTGAGTGACAGGGGGGAGCTCCTCAACCCCCTGATCAGTCCTGCTCTGTGCATGACAGGGTATGGATCCCCAACCCCCTGATTGGCCCTGCTCTGTGCATGACAGGGTACGGAGCCCCAACCCCCCTGATGGGCCCTGCTCTGTGCGTGATGGGGTGGTGCCGCAACCTCCCCATCGATCCTGCCTTGAGTGTGACAGGGGGCCGTGCCCCAACCCCCCAATCGGCCCTACCCTGAGCGTGACTGAGGGTGGCATCACAACCTCCCAATCTGCCCTGCTCTGTGCATGACAGGGGAAGGTGCCCCAACTCCCCAGTCGGCCCTGCTCTGAGCCCGACCAGGGGCTGCACCTAGGGATTGGGCCTGCCCTCTGCCACCCGGGAGTAGGCCTAAGCCAGCAGGGCGTTGTCTCCCTAGGGGTCCCAGACTGCGAGAGGGCACAGACCGGGCTGAGGGACCCCCCTCTCCCCCAAGTGCACAAATTTTTGTGCACTAGGCCTCTAGTATTTTTATAAATAATGAAAAAAATATACTTTTCTAATCATTCAGGCAGTTCCTCTCCTATTAACAAATCCTGGAAATCTATCATGAAATTTCTGAGTGAAGTTAAGCAATGACTGAAAGAAAAGAAAACAACAAAAACTCTCGAATTATCAATTAGAGATTTGCTTCAAAATATGAGATGTATTTAGAAAGCTCAGAAGGAAAATATTCTCAAGTTGCCAGTCTAGCCAGACCAAGGCAGATGGGCTGTGTGGCTTCCCAGGGCTGGCCCGGTCCACTGGGAGGCCAGAGGCTGTGGCAGGGTGTTTGGGGAGTTCTTCTCAAACATCCCCTGCCTGGCCACCCAGGCTGGGAGTGCCTTTCCCAGGATACAAGTGCTGGAACAGAGATGCGTCGCAACACAGAAATGTTCTGGGGAGGGTAACACTCTGACTTCACTTCATGCCTTGATGAAAATGACAGGAGGCAGAAATTTTCTGGGCTCAATTGTTATCAGGAAGGAGTGGAGATGAGCAGCCTGGCACCAGCTGGGCACCTGGAAAGGTGAAGTGGGGACAAAAGGAAGGAACAGAAGCCTGGGTCACGGCAAAGTCTAGCACTGAATGTTGGCAAGGAATTTGAAGGGAGTAGGTGGGTGCATGATGCTAAAGGAGCACTGATAGTAAACCATGTTGTGCAAACTTTCTAGTAATAGTAATAATTAATAAATAATAATAATAATATAAATCTGGATTTTATGCTCACAGCCCCCAGATAAATATCATTATTGTCCAGTGTCTATGGCCTCTGGTAGTTCTTTGTTGTGGGGGTGACCTGTGCACTGGAGGATGTCTGGCAGCATCCCTGGCTTCTGTTAAAGAAATGTCAGTAGTATCCCCGCACCTCCTGCAGTCACAATCAAAAATGTCTTCAGACATTGCCAAACGTCCCCTTGGGATCAAAATCACCCCCATGAGGGCCTCAGCAGTAAAGCCCTTTGTGGCTCAGTTTCCCTGCCTCTGCAATGGACAAAACCCTCTCTTCTTGACTGCATAGGGTATCTGTCTTTTTACCTCACTCAAACCTGTTGGTTTTCATTCTGCCACAGAAAAGAAAGAGGAGGCAGCATCGATCTGAGCTGCCCATGTCAGAGGAGACCTCTCGCTTCTGACCCGGCCACCCTCTATGTGACCCAGGGCAAACCACTCACCCTCTCCAGGCCTCACTTTCATCTTTAAAAGGAAATTTTGCTCCCGTACTCAAACCACATTTCTTATTCCCAGTGGCAGCAAAATATCCTTTTATTCTTCATAATTATGTTCTTCTTTCTTCTAGTGTTTCCTCTATAAATTCAGTATCTTATTTGGCTCTCCTTTTAAGTTGCATTACTTCACTTTGATGTGAAAATAGGAAAAACTTATGATAATTTGGATAGCCCTGGGCTATTGGATTCTCCCAGGAGAAAATCTAAAAATTTTGTAATTTCATTGTCTGGGGTTTGGGCCGGAGGTGTTATAACCTTACATAAGCTACCTTTTATTTAGGCTTTTCTAAATACTGAGTGGTACATTTTACCACAGCTACATTGCAGATTGATGAAAGAGAAAATTTTTAAAAAGAGAAAATTATAAAAGGAAGAAACTTGCCAGAGCTATACTTTCTCCTTTAAACTACATTGCTTGGCTGCTGTTTTCTTTGCACCTCATATCTGATGTGGCTATACCCACCAGGACAATTGCCAGGAAATGTGCCAGGAAAATTTTAGAAAGATGCTTTGTGCCATCTGAAACATATTTCGCTCACAGGGCATTAATAAAGCATTCCATCGTTGGCCCTGGGTTGCTGTGAAGAAGCCACCATGGACTCTGAGCCCCAGTCAGACACCAAAACATCTGTTCTCTGCCATGTTGTGACAAGGACAGCATGGTCCTGGGGAAAGGGAACACAGTGACAGTAGCTGGCATTTCCGCTGCATGGTTGCCTATCTCTGTTTCTACCCCTTGACTGACTGGATCGGGCAGCAAATGTGGGTAGAGAAGTTCTCCAGGGAGGCGCACTGTTGCTGCAAATGGGTGCTGTTGCTTATCATAAGTTTATCTGCTTGTTAAGCAGATACCTCTTGCTTGTTCACTGTGAAACCCCGAACTTCTCACCTGAGTGCAGGTTTGCTCCTTTGGGTTGAGACTTTGTCAATAGAAGAGCTGTGCTGAAATGCAGAGAACATGTACTTGAAATCTGGATGATGCTCCAGAGGTCTTCTGGTAAAGAGCAGATGCCCTGGGAAATGACATCACTCAAGGTCACACAGCAAAGAAGTGGCTGAGGTAGTACTAGGTATAGTCCCAGACCATACTACCTCAGAGGGCCATTACCAACACATCAGTACTAATAACATGATTACTATATCAAATTAAGTAGCTGTTTCCTAGCGGGAGAAAGGACCCAAAGGAATAGGGTTCAGAGACAAGTGAATTTTGAAATAGGGGAATATGTGAAGAAAGGTGTAAATCGGAGAATTCTTAATAGCCAGAGGTACTAGGACTTTGGAGGAAAAGGTTCTAAAGAGAATTAGGTACCAAATATGGTTTGATGGTGGCCTTAGTGGTTGTGCTGGTGCTGGTGATGATGGTGGTGGTGGCGATGGTGGTGATGGCAGTGATGGTGGTAATGATGGTTGTGGTGATAGTAGTGATGGTGGTAGTGGTGGTGATGGTGATGATGGTGGTGGTAGTGGTGGTGATGGTGATTGCTGTAATGATGTTGATAGTAGAAAAACATTATTAACTCACTCATTTAACAAGTATTTATTGAGACTCTACCAGTCTAGATACTGAGTATAATTGAGAACAAAGCATAGTTTCTTCCTTCATAGAGTTTACAGCCCAATAGAGAAGACAGATAGGTAAGTAGACATTTTCAACATAGAATTGCAAAATCTCTGATTAAATAAACATATGAAAAAGCAAATCTCTCAAGCTTTGCTCAGAGTTTTCCCAGAAATAAATACTGGCCTACCAAGTAGCGTATTAGCTCACAGGGTAGAAGAGTAGTCGGCGAGGGCCCATAGCAAGCATAAACCATGCTATTACTCATGGGAACCCTTTTTCCATGGTGTAAATTATACCCAAAGATCCAGTCACCAAAAGCACTGAAAGAAAATGTAGGCCGGGGTAATTTGCTCCTCCAGGGGCTTGTTTGATTTAATTAAAATAATTTTTAAAAGGTGACATTATTGGGAAGTTTTTGAAAGAAGGAAAAGAGAGGGAAAAGGTCAATATAGCTACATATTTTAAAATTCCAGTCCTGATACTGTTGCCAGCTTGAACTTTGCTATTTCCCTTGAGGTGCACACGTTTATTTTTAACCCTGGGTCTTTTGCTAATATCGAACCACAACGCCATCATTAATCCCCATTAATACCTGTTCTGACTGTGCCTTTTGGAAACTAACTCAGATCGAACTTTTTTAAACCAATCGATGTTCAGTGTACTCTGTGGTGTTATAAAAAATCATCTGGAGCTCCAGCTAGTAAATCAAACTGACCACACTGGAGGCAGATCCTGAGGTTTCCTAGGGCCCAGGACAAGATGAATGACCGCAGACCTTTGAGATAAAATGGACTTCAGGGCTTGCTGTCTAAGCATATGCGATCTCATAGACAAACTGAAATAAAGTTACTTTTCACTTTGTCCATCTTTATTCCCCTTCTCATTGTCTCCGTATTTAGAAAGTTGTTTTTTTCTTTCCATGCATGAAAACAATCAGTAATGCCTTCACTCCTTTGAAATTTTTCCAAGCAGCTCCACAAGACACTTATTACAAAACCATGTTTTTATTTTTATCCGGTTGTTTACCTGGGCATCTTATAGGAAGCTTCACATTCAGCAAACCTCTTCATGCAACACACTATAATGACTATTAATATTGTGTTTGAAAATTCGTTGAGCTAGGAATTCTACCTTTCAATCTCCCAAATGAACTTCAGAGTCAGAAATAAATGCATGAGGCCTATTCCTGATCATACCGACCAACCACGGCACAGCTCCCTGGCCATTTTATTTTAAAAAATGAAATAAAGAATTTAAAAGCTCTAGCTAATGGTTCCTTTGGTTCATAAGCAGCTAAAGCCTCCTTCCTTGGAGTGAACTATCCTAAAAAACCAGCACCCAGGTGCTCAGTGGCCATTGTCGGCAACTATTTCATCCCCGAGGAGCTTTTTCACACTTCCCCATATGAACCTTAATTTTGGAAAGGTGAAATCTATCACAAGAGCATGATTATCTAATAAAAATTTGTTTCCAGATTTTTGTATCAAAGATTCATGTAATTGTCATCAGAACTTCCTATGGAGGGTGGTGGTGGCCAGCCTCAGATCATCAGGGCAGACACTGCACACGCTCCAGTGCCGCCTTTGTGAAGGTGAAGACACAGCTTCCACTTGGTATTTTGGAAGAATGGCAATGACTCACACACCTGCATACTAACTTTGCAAATGCCTGGCTGGTGACCATTGTTGGATGTGGGCTTCAAGATGGATTTTAGTCTCCATTTAGAGTCTGGGTTTCTAACCCTATTAGCTTTCTTATTTTATTTTATTTTATTTTATTTTTAAATATGTTTATGTTGATTTTAAAGAGAGTGGAAGGGAGACAGACAGAAAGAGAAACATCGGTGAGAGAGAGAAACATCAATTGGTGGCCTCTTAAACACCCCCTACTGGAGATGGAGCCAGCAACCTGAGCTTGTGCCCTGACCACTGGGAATCCAAAAGCAACCCTCTGGGTGCAGGAGATGATGTTCAACCAACTGAGCCAAATCAGCCAGGGCCTGGCTTTCTTATTTTAAACTAGAGGCCCAGTGCATGAAATTCATGCACTCAGGAATGGGGTCCCTCAGCCCGGCCTGTGCCCTCTCACAGTCCAGCAGCCCTGCCATTGATCACCCTGCAAAGGGCGGCCCTGCCCACCCAGCAGGGGCTCCGTGATCAATCACCCCAAAAAGGGAGGCCCCGCCCACCCACCACAGCCTGCTGGTCATTGGCCTGGGCTTCCCTCTTTGGCGTGATTGTGGACCCCCGCTTTTGATCGCCCTGCCGCCCGGTGGCCTGGGCCTCCCTTTGCAGCACAATCATGGGGCGATGGCTGGGCCCCTGACCAATCACACCCCAACCAATCGCACCCACCTTGGCTGGCCTAGGGCCAGTGGGTGTCATAGCATGGTCGTCTGGATGGTCATTACTCAGTTCGGCCATTCGGTCGATTTGCATATTACACTTTTATTATTATAGATTGTTATTTTCTCTCCATGATTTATGCTCAGGAATATCAGGAATGCTGTTCCTCACTTTGGAATAGTCAAAAACGATAGAGGCCTCTGGTGCTCTTCATAACCTTTTCAATGGTGACATAGTTCAATTGGTAGGGGCTTCCAGTGGTGGCAACATGGAGAATCTATCAGTGAAAACTAATGAAAAATGTTATTGTGGTCCAGCAGAGTAAAATACTAAAATGCCAATTCTAAGAAGATTTTTTTTTAACCCTTAAAGTTGAAGCTTCAAGGTATCCCTAAGCATGGGAATCCAATGACAAATGGGAGATACAGTCAAGACAATCTCTAGGTCACCTTGCTCACTACAAATTTTTATTTCTGTGGGGTTGTTTTTTTTTACGAATTCTTAAAATTTAATAAACATATTGTAAGCCAGTGTGAAAATAGAATTTTCCTAACAGAAAATTTTCCAGAGTCACTTTTGAGAAATTATATTTATTCCATAAATAATCGAAGTGCAGATAAAAAGACTGAGGTCTCAGGATGTTAAATGACTTACACAAGGTCATTGACAGAACTGAAAACGGATTTCATGTCGCCTGCTGAGCCATTCCATTCTCAACGTTCTATTTCCCTGGATTTTCTCTTTGTCTGTCCTCTCTTCACATCGGATGAGCTCCTTGGGTACAAATATAATGTTTTCTACAAGCTCTGTCTGATTCAATCCTTATCTTTCAGAGTGGGGGTGGGGGGGCAGGAGGAGGGAACAATGAATTGTTCAGACATCATTTTTCTTTCTTATGGTAAAAGCCTGCAATGTAATGAAGTTTTCACTTGTGGGCAAACAGCTTGGTTTCTCAATTATTAAGCATACATTTCTTATGCCTGTTCTCCCATATTTTTGGAGGAAAAAAACAGACATTTATTACAAACCATCTCTCGAATGTGATTATCATAGTCAATCTAAATGTCTGCTTTCCTTGAATTGCTTCCTGGAATGAGGTTTCAATGCTGCATCTATTTTGAAATTGCATGGGCTATTTCTTAAACATGGGGATGTTTTGAGCACTCTCCCTAGGCTGTGCAGTCCAGCTGCTCTGGTATCCCAAGCAGACATCCCCAGGACAGATGGATAGAAATGCAGCAAAGCCAGCACAGCATGTTAGAATCTGCCCTCACGGCTTTATGCATCTGGGATCCCCATCTCACCCTCTTTCCTTCCCCTCTCTCCTCCCTTGAAATCCTCCTTTCCTCTTCTCTCTCTGCTTTTTCCCCTTTTCAAAAAATTTTGGGTACCAGTTCCACATCTGCCCTGCACCATGCAGCAGTGATATAGAAATTTTTTAAAAGCAGACATTAGAAAAGCTTAAAATCTTGATCTCTCTCTCTCTCAGTCCACATCTGGTTATTTCTCTCTTGATGGTCAATTAGTAAACTATGTTTTGGCCAAATAAGGATCCTTAGTTACTAAGGGAAACAAGGATAATAACCTCTAGTTGTAATGGTTTCCATGAAAAATGAATCTAATGACCTACCCCTGCCAGAGTCTGTGTCAAGGGTGCATACCAAGAACATCTGCACAATGGCGGTCAGCTGCTTCACAATATAGGTTAGGGTTAATCCATGTTTTTTTAACTGAAGTAAAATTTACATATAGTGAAAAGTATGGGTATTAATGCAAAATTGAACTAGTTTTGATTAATCACCACCCAACTAAAATATAAACATCAGTCCAGAAATTTCCCTGTGCTTCCTTCCTAATCAACCCAGAAAATTTCTTGCAATAGGTTAGATTTGCCATCTTAAACTCCCAGTATGTGGGCACATATAGTATTTGGGTCTGGCTTCTTTTACTCAATCAGTTGTTGCACATGTCTTTAATTTTTATTTTATTGCTGAGCAGTATTTCATTGTATTTTCTATATCACAAACTATCCATTCATCTGCTGATAGACATTTGAGATTTTTTTCAATTTAGGGTTATTATAAATAAAGCTATTATGAACATTATTGTACAAATCTTTTTATGTAAATGTGTTTTCATATCTCTGGAGTAAGTAGCTAAAGGTGGCATGTCTAAATCATAGGGTATGTATATGTGTATCTTTATACGAATCTGCCAATGTTCCAAAGTAATTGGATCATTGTATATGTTCATCTTTATAAGAATCTACCAGTGTCCCAAAGTGATTGGGCCATTTTACATTTCTGGCAGCAATACATGAGAATTTCAGTTTTTCCACAGCTTCATCTATTCTTGGTGTTTTCAGCTTTCTTAATTTTAATCTTTCTAATGGGTGTACAGTGGTACCTCATTGGGATTTTAATTTTCATGATGACTAATGATACTTAGCACCTTTTCATGCATTTATTGACCAATTATACATCTTTTTTGGTGTGGTATCATTTCAAGTTTTTGCCCATTTTGTTATTGGATTATTTATGTTTTTATTAATGAGTTATAGTTGCTTTTTCTATATTCCTAATACAATATATCTTATGTCAGATATGTATTTCAGATATTTTATTCCAGAATATGGCTTGCCATTAAATTTTTTAAATATTGTATTTTAAGGAACAAGATTGTACATTTTATGAAATTCAATGTTTTAAAAAAATTAAGAGTTAGCCCTAGAAAATGTGTTATTTCCACAAGATCATGAAGATATTTTCCTGTATATATTTTATAATTTTGGCTTTTATGTTTAGGTCTGTGATCCATCTTGAATTAACATCCTATGTGGAATGAGGTAGGGGCCTAGTCCCCCTACTTCAGTTTACCCATTTGTTCTAGTACCATTTGTTGAAACAACTGTTGGAAACTAATTTTTTAAAAGACTTTCAGTTTTTGAAAAGACTGTCAATTACCCCCACCTCTCCCACACCATTAAATTGCTTTGGTGACTTTGTTGAAAATCAAATGAGTATAAAAAGGTGGATCTATTTCTGGCCCCATTCTGTCAGATGGTCTATTTATCTATCCGTATATAGCCTAGTGTCTCAATTGCTGTAGTGTTATAGTAAATCTTCAAAGCACTTATTCCATAAACTTTGTTCTTCTTTTCAACATTGTTTTGGTTGTTCTAGAACCTTTGAATTTCTCTATAAATTTTAGAAACAACTAGTCAATTTCAACAGAATGCCTATTGGCATTCTGATTAACCCATTTGTCTTGATCTAGTAAAGAAAAGATGGCTTACACCCACCTTCCACTGATACTATATCTATTCATTTAGCGAAACTTATTTAGTGCCCACTCTGTGCTAGCAATGGGAATTCAAAGTCAAAACAGCATGGTACCTTCCTTCCTTGTGGGAACGTACATCTGATAATGGGAACAAAGGCAATCAATGAATGACACAAGGCAATATACTAAATAGGAGGGCAGTATTAAGCAAATCATACTACATCAGCACAGAGAAAAGACATCCAAATGAAAAAGATCAGTAAAGATTTCCAGAATGAGCCCTGACCGGTTTGGCTCAGTGGATTAAGTGTTGTCCTGCGGACTGAATGGTCCCAGGTTCGATTCCAGTCAAGGGCAGGTACCTTGGTTGCGGACATATCCCCAGTAGGGGCTGTGCAGGAGGCAACTGATCGATGTTTCTTTCTCATCGATGTTTCTAACTCTCTATCCCTCTCCCTTCCTCTCTGTAAAAAATCAATAAAATATATATTTTTTTAAAAAAAGATTTCCAGGATGAAATTATCTGAGTTTTAAAAATCAGTAGGTAAGGAAAGGGTTTGAGTATGGAAGTGCATTCCAGAAAGACAGAATACCCCTTCCAATAGCACTGGGGTAGAAAACAGCTTGTTGCTAAGCCCACCACAGTGAAAAGCAAAGAAGATTATAGATGGCATTCCTTTTCTTTGTTATGAGGATCCAGGCAAGGAACAAAAGGGAATTCTTGCCACCCTTATTTTTCTCTTATGTGTGTTTGCTGGGAGGCCCACCCATGGAATAACCGGTCTAGGAGTATTTCATCTTCAGCTCATTTCCCTTTCTATCCTCAGCACGTAGTTTGGAAAATGGCAGAGAAAACATAAGAAACATCTCCAAATTTCCAGACCAATGGGCTTTCCAATTTTACTTTTTGGAACTATTTTTTAAACAAATATCAATTGAACCTAAATATATATAAGAGAAATGCAGAGTTGTTGCTATTGAAGAGAGATGATGCCTGAAGACCCCACCATTCCCACCACTTGGTCATCTCCTTCCCCAAACCCAAGACAGTGACTACTGAGGTTCTTTGTAGAACCCTAGAGGGTCATGGCCCAATTTGACATCTTTATGACTTGTACCTACAATTAAGATTGAGTCCTAGCCAGTTTTCTCAGTGGATAGAGCATCAGCTGGCCAACTAAAGGGTCCCAGCTTTGATTCCAGTCAAGGGCACATAGTTTGGTTGCAGGTTCCCGAGCCCTGGTTGGGGTGCATGCAGGAGGCTACCATTCAATGTGTCTCTCTCATGTGAATGTTTCTCTCTGTCTCTCCCTCTCCTTTACACTCTCTCTAAAACTCAATGGGAAAATATCCCTGAGTGAGGATTAACAACAACAAAAAGATTGACCACCACCAGATAGCTGGGGGCTTGTGGTTCACGTATTTGGAAAGGATCTTACTCAAGAAACAACCTTTCTCTTTTCCAAATGTAACTCTCCACATTCGAAGCTAAATCATGTTACCCAAAATTTATAACCAACAGTCTTTGAGAAACTATTATAGATAAGATTAGATATACAACTGTATTCTACAAGAGTTACAGAAAGCCTAACCTTTATGAGAACATAACGTTTAACAGTGAAATTTAACAGAATACCAGTTTTAACAGAGAAAAGTCACTTTGTTATAATCATATAAAATGTGCACACAGGATAAGAAAAATACATTTACCTTTAAAAAGAAGCAGAAAAATAGTAATTATGCAAAATGTAAAGGTATGTGCTACAGAAAATTAGAGAATCAAGAAATATCACTTTTTTTTCCAGCATCGAGTTAAAATCCGCTCAATCCCCCTTATCTGAAACGGAGAAGTCCAGTATAGGTCATGCTTTAACCCTGCCCTGTCCTTTGAATTGTATATGGATCCAGGGCTTATTCTGACCTTAAGGTGAGAGGTACTAAATGTGACTCCAATGCCAGGTCCTAAAGGCAGGCGGCTCCACTTTAGAACCAAGTACAGGCCAGCCATCATATTTAAGGGGCCTTCCCCCAAAGCATGGCATTTCTGTCTGGTTTCCCCACTGTTCCCCAGTCCTTGCTGGCCCACCTCCTGAATGGTTGGCCTCCCGTGTCAGCCCTCAAAGAGCATTGCCTCTTTCCTTCCTCATATTTGAACAACCCCAGTTTAATCGCTCCTCATTGTCCTAAGCTTTGACTTCAGAGAGGCAGCCAACCCCTCTCAGAGCACAAACAAAATTGTATCTATTCTTTCCTCCATGATAAGTATTTGGGGAAATTCTAAACATTTTTAAAAGTATAAATAAGAAAATAATTATATATTCGCACTGTAAGAATTGAACATAAGTGGTATCTTGGCATATCTGTTTCTAGTCTTTTTTTTTTTTTATGAAAGAAGGCAATGCTCTCTCTAAAAAGAATTTGAACATTCCAGAAACATTTTTAAATGAAAGTTAAAAAAAAATTTCTCTCAAAAAGATCATTCCAAGTTTT